TACATCAAAAAAAAAAAATTACATTTTCCACGTCTTCACTTCTTCTTCTTCTCCTCAATCACAAAACCTTTCAAGGTTTTAGATCTCTGTCAAGAGAGTTCACTCCCTTGCGGCCTTCGTCCACCACGTACGATTTGGTATGTATATGTATGTATGTATGTATATATATATTTTGTTGTTGTTTCTTTTTCGTTATGATTTTTTAAAATTCTTTTTTTAAAGGGTAAATTAAAAAACACTTTTATCTTTTTCTCTCTGTGTGCTGTGGAAAAAGAACCACTAAACATAAATCAACCCTCCACACACAATGATCAAATCTGACAGAAACCACAAAAAGAAGAAGTTAATTACTCTAATTAAGTGTAGAATCTCAAATTTAATATAAAGTTTGAGAAAAAAAAGTCATGCATGGTGACCCTTTTTTAATCTCCTTTATCTCTTTCACCCCTTCAAATCAATTTCTTCATATATATATATATATATATATATATATGTGTATATATTGTTTATTCATATACATGTATAAGCGATAGTGAGCTTCGAAGAGTGTTTTTCTATTCTTCCCCTTATAACTCGTCACATATTTCCTTCACCGGGAAAGTTCCAAGGCTCGCTTATGGCTCAATCCCAACCTCAATTGTTACTTCTTTCTCATTTTCGTTCGCATTCGACCACTAATAGCGTAATTAGAAATTCTATTCTCTTCTTCTTCTTTTTTTTGGTTTCTTTTCTATTGTTAATCTCTATAATTTTTTTTATGTTATTCAACAAAGATTAATTAAATTAAAAGATCTAATTTGAAATATATCGAAATCTAGCTTAAATGGTTAATCAGGATTGCTTGCTGAAACTGGTTGATTTTTTTTTTATTTATTACTGGATTTGTTTCTTCCAACATTACTTTCTATTATTTTTTTTTGCAATTCATAAACATTCGTTATACTCGTACATTCTTGTATTTAACAATCTTTACGAGTTCTATACATGTACACATGCATTAATCAATATTCAACAGTTTCATATACGTGTATATATTAATATATAACTAGATAGTTAGATGGAAAAATTCCTTAAGTTTATATATATATTGAAAACTGAGTTGGGAAACGAGCTTAATTTAATTGAAAATTTGTACTTTAAAAAATAAATGTGATAAAATAGCGGAATAGATTTTGTACCAACTGTCAAGTGCTAAAGATACACACGCATCAATAACTATATACTTCGGTGTACAAAAGAATGATTTATTTTCTAATTTGCTCGATTGCAGAGACAGATGATGGTGAAACTCACTTCGTTGCTAGCTTCTCGTCCAGTTCTTGTCTTCGTTGTCTTGGTATTTTTTTTTTATTTTTTTTCACACGATCTAATTACGTTAAATACTCTATGATATTGTTAAGAAAAAAAAACAGTTAAATTATTGGAAAATTGATAAATGCAGGTTACAGTGGAGTTGACTGTTCCGAGTATTATGACAGGGAATTGGTTTAAAACCACGAAAAGTATGAAAGAAAGCGCGGATCTCATAACAGAGAATCTTCGTCGGGGAATGGTATCAGAGATTGAAAACGTCGGCAGAAACTTCTGCCAGTCCACGAACTCATCGGCCATTGGATTAGCCCAACTCATCGATTCTTCCTTCGTCGACAACAACACTCCCACCCCTCCTTCCTCCGCCCACATCCAATCCCTGGTGCCTTTTATGATTATATATATATATATTTGAAAATTCCTATTTATTTTTAACGATAATTTTGTCATAACAGAGGTTTTTTTTTTTTTCAAAACTAGATATCGCCGGTACTGTATGAAGCGTACAGATTGATTCCTCACGTCTCACAAGTTTCATACATTGCTTCTGACGGCAACTTCCTCTCATTCTTCACGGATTACAACAGAACAGTCGCCATCTTCTCCAATACCACGTTTTCTTCGAACTACATTTGGTACATTCAAGACGTCGACCAAACCAACGGCCGCCTCTACGGCGAAGCCTTTAAATATCGACCGTTGGATCTCAACCGCACCGAATGGTTCCGAGCCGCATTGAGTAACGACAACTCTACTGGTGGAAGAAACTATGTCTCTTTGGGACCCAGTTGGGGCATAGAGAATGTCCCTTTATTCTTTAACACCGTCAGTTTGCACGACAAGAAAGGAGCTGTCTCATTGGGGTTTCGGGTTCAAACCTTAATCGATGTCTTGAACCAGTTGAATCTCTATGACGGCAAACTCTTCCTTTCAACAAAGGAGGGGACAGTGCTTCTACGAGGTGGTTCTCCGAATGCCTTGTTCTTTGTCTCCAATGGCTCGGCTTGCTTCCGTAACGCACCTAAATCACCTCGCAGCCGCAACAAAAACAAAGACCAATGCTTTCCCAGTAACAACACATCTGTAGGTTATGAGCTGGTCATCGAATCTTCGAAGTTCCGAGTTTATTCCTCTGTTCTCGAAGTCGCCGGGATACACCTGGTATTGTTACATCTCTTAAACTTGTTAGATCTTGTCTTTACATAAGTATCTAGTGTGAATAATTGCGAAAAAAATGTGTTTCTTACCAGGTATATGCGCTAGTGTTTCCTAGTAAAGGAGATATCGTGGCGATGATAGAGAAGAACAGAGAGACGGGGCTGATCTTGTTGGTGGTGATGTCGACGTTGCCAGTGATCTCAACCCTCATCTTTGTGATGTTGATGGTGCGAGCAGCAAGGAGGGAGATGCATATGTGTGCAACGCTGATAAACCAGATGGAAGCGACACAACAAGCTGAGAGAAAGAGCATGAACAAGAGCCTGGCATTCGCCAGCGCGAGCCACGACATTAGAGGCGCCCTCGCCGGAATCAACGGTCTGATTGACCTCTGTCAAGAGGAAGCCGAACCTGGTTCTGAGTTGGACACCAGTCTCAAGCAAATGCAAGTCTGCACTCATGATTTACTTGGTAAGACATATTACTTAATTTGGCCATCGTGAATCGTATCTCGTAACCCAGAAAAAAACTTAAACTCGTAAAACAAAAAATTCTACCGAGTGTAAAGCTGTAGATTTTGTTCCGGCACCACGCTATTTAGTTTAGTATCGTTAGGACTAATGGGATTCTCATAATATTGCAGGTCTACTCAACTCCATTCTTGACATGAGTAAGATCGAGTCAGGAAAAATGCAAGTAGAGGAAGAAGAGTTCAACCTAGCAGATCTTCTTGAAGAAGTCGTCGACTCCTTCCATCCTGTGGCCATGAAGAAAGGCGTCGATGTTGTTTTGGATCTACAAGATGGCTCGATCCTCATGCACTCAAATGTGAAAGGTGACAGAGGCAAACTCAAGCAAATCCTTAACAATCTCGTGAGTAATGCTGTTAAGTTCACATTCGATGGCCACCTCTCGATCCGGGCATGGGCCCAGAAGCCCAGCTCCCAGAGCTCCATTGTCTTGGCAGCGAATGCAGATGGAGATGTCTGGAAGTTTTCACGGTTTATGCTCTGCAGCAGAAAAGATATGTCAAATAACAAATTAGAGCCCGTGCGGTCAGTGAGAGGGAATATGAACATGAACACGATGGAGTTTGTGTTTGAAGTGGATGATACGGGGAAAGGGATTCCTAAGGAGATGCAGAAATCAGTGTTTGAAAACTATGTTCAGGTTAGAGAAACAGCTCAAGGGCAACAAGGAACCGGTTTAGGCCTCGGAATTGTGCAGTCCCTGGTAAGCTACTAAGACCTAGAGTATAACTAACATATAGCCTTAGTTCTGACTTACTATTCGAAAAATAACTGAAGCAAAAGAAGTGTTCTAATACTGTAAATGCACAACTTTTGTGGCACCAATGGAGCCCTAAACCAAAGTTGTCAACCTATTCACAAGGAAGCATGAAGAGGACTTTAACTGCATTTTTGTACCTATGTTTGATTCACTTCTGTATCTTTTTTTTTCTCTTTCTTATAGGTTCGACTGATGGGAGGGGAAATAAGAATTGTGGACAAGGATATCGGTCAGAAGGGTACTTGTTTCCGGTTCAACATTTTCCTGACGACCTCAGAGTCAACTACCAATGACACAGCAATGAGACAGGACAAAGAAACAAAAGGTGATTGCCTATCAACACCAAATCTGGGGCTCACCGTACGGACATCAAATGCTAACAGAAGCATACGGAGCATGAGTCCAAGATTGAACAACATTTTCCTTAGCTCGAGTCCAAGGTCGGATGGTTCCCGAGTAGTTCTCCTGCTCAAAGACGAAGAACGAAGAAGAGTTACACAGAAGTATATGGAGAATCTGGGGATTAATGTAACGGTGGTGGAAAAATGGGAGCACTTGGATCATGTCCTGGAGAGGATGAAGTCTAAACTCAACGGTTCTTCACCTCAAAATTCCTTTGGAAAATCAGAGACTAGTTCGAGAAGTGAAATATCAAGGTCCAACTCAAAGGCGTTACCTTTGAGTGCCATGGATGGTATTGATCGTAGAAGCCAATTGCCTACAAAGAAAAAAAACAGCCTATCTAGATTCGTCCTTCTCGTGATCGATGCAAACGCTGGGTCATTTTACGAGTTGTCCAGTGCTGTGCAACAGTTTCGAGACAGCTTACACCGGGGCATCTGCTGTAAAGTTGTTTGGCTAAACAAGAGAGACCGCGGAACAAGAGGTTGGGAGAATGACGTTAGTTTTCTGAAACCCTTGCATGGATCTCGTTTGAACAAAGTGATGAAGATGTTACCAGAATTTGGAGGGACGGTTCCAAAGGAAACACCCTTTGAGCTGCAGAGAGAACCGTCATTGAGATATTCTCTTGATGCGGAGATGTCACTGGAAAATAAAATGCTTGTAAACACAGAGATTCAAGAAGATGGTTCGAGTTCAAGCTACGATAAGAAGCTAGGCAAGACAATGATGATTTCATCCTCTTCAGAGAGGGAGACTGATGCCAAGAGAAGATTTACACATTCTGTACGTACCGTTAAACCTGCAGGGAACACGGAAAACACTCAAGAAACTCCTGAGCCGAGTGATGGGAAATGCTTAGCAGGAAAGAAAGTTCTAGTAGTCGATGACCAAAAAATGATGGCACTAATTGCGAGCAAAAAGCTGATGAAACTAGGTGCATCCACTGTTGAAAAGTGTTACAATGGGAAAGAAGCTGTCAGATTAGTCAAGGAACAACTTGAACAAAGAGACAGAGCAACAGATTCAATGGATGTTCTTCCTTTTGATTACATATTCATGGACTGTCAGGTAATATATATAATGATATCCATTCCCTAATACAAGAACAAATGATTCACTTCAAATAAATATTGATGTACCTTTTCCTACAGATGCCAGAAATGGATGGTTACGAAGCAACCAGACAAATAAGGAGAGCAGAGAGTCGGTACGGGATTCACGTACCAATTATAGCAATATCTGCTCACGAGCATGGCTCGAAGGAGGCAAAACAAGCCATAGAAGCCGGAATGGACGCCCATTTGGGAAAAGAACTGCTTACAGAACATCTTGTTAACGCCATTAGAGAAATTAAAAGTAAGATGACTGCACAATACATACCTTAGCATATCATTGGGAGAAAGAAAGAAGCTTTTTCTGGAAATTATAGTGAAAAAAGAGTATATCAGCTCAGAAGATAGAATAGAAGAATATAAATAGCTAATGAATGAGTAGAGATGAAGCATATGCATTACAATTCGAAAGCCAGACAGCATTTCGACAACATCTCAAGTAACAAGAGAACCTTGATACATACAGTCAAATGGAAAAAAAAAAGCCATAACAGTGTATCTATAGTTTACTGTAATATGTAAACATATTGTAGCTCAATAATATGTAAAGAAATATAAAGTACTAGAAAAAAAAATCCGAGCATCCATACAAGACTGCGAGCAAAAGGAATCTCGCGAGAATAGTACATGTAGTAACCTAGAAAACTTTCATCGAATTCGTATCCTTATTTCTCCTTTCTCTATTTCGAGAACCGTAACTTTATCATCTGCGAGACAGAAAATAAAAAGTTCAACCAAGTTTTCTAACAAACACAATGCGACACTCGTCATGGAGATTACAACTCGGAGATAACAGTTGACAAAATGACAACTGGAAACTACGAACACAGTGATCAATTCATCAGCTGAAAAATATAAAAAGCTAATCACAGCTAGAAACCAGCGCAGTTCAGCTTTCCTAACTGACTTACACAGTATTTCAGAGGAATTGCTCTTCTGCTCCTTCCATTGGCTCCAAACTCCACTCTTCTTCCTCTCTTGGTCTTGGCACGTCCAATTTCTGGCCCTTTTTTCTTTTCTTAGTAGCTATCATCATCGTTCAACAATGGTCCCTGTGTTTGCTCAGTAAGCGTCCGAGTAACCATCCATTGCATGATAAAATATCAAATTCGACCAGGAACTCAAATTCCACGAAATCGAAATCTCTAGAAATCAAAAAGAGAAGTTGGCTCCGAGGATTTACGAACCTTTGACCGACTAGAGTCACGTTACCAGTACCGAGAACCATACCAGGGTTAAGCTCGATGGCGATGCCCTCCTCGCCGGCTTCTAGAAGATTCTATCTCAAGTTACCAGTACCGAGATTGATCTCGAGGATCACACCGGTGCTTTGCTTTCTGGATGATTCACGGAGGAAAAGCGCTTTCTAAACGCTGTCCTTTTGGAGAAATAAAGAGACCAAACCGGATAAATAGACCGGCGAATTTCCGTTCTCTTTCGATGAATTTAGAACCGGTCAGTATAATGGAACGCCAATATAACATACTTGAATCCTTTTGAAGCAAAGATTACATTCATCCTCAGTTTGGTGTTATACAGACAACGTTAATCTAAAAAGGAACACAACACAACTATACATGGATCAGCTGTGTGTATTCCTAGGAGAGAACAAGTTGATGCAAAAAAAAAAAAAAAGTGAAAAACTCAAAGCGTGACCTTACCATCAGCTGTCCACAACCTTATCAAGCGTTCGAGTGAACCAATCTCGAAAACGTCTAGTCTTGGATAGCAGCTGTGTGTTTCTGGAGAAGTAGGATTCAGCGTTGGAGAGCATTACGTCCACATCATGCTTAAAGGCATCAATGCTTCTGTAGTAACGGTTCTCTAGCCTCTGCCGGATCAGTTCCGGGTATAAAGGAACCGGGAACCTGTGTTCAAGACGGGAGGCAAGAGAGGTTAGCCGATGTTTGTCCCATTGGACAGATTGGTTTGGTTACTACAGGACAGAACCAAACCGAGAGAGACTGCCTCTTAATCTCATCACCCTTTTACTAGAACACCATTTCACCACTAATAGTAGTATCGTCTGGATGGCATTTGATGTGTGTTACGAGAGGGTTTAGGGTTTGAAAGAACATGTACCTATTGCAGAAGTCCATCTTCTGGGCAGCTTCATTCAGCTTTTGTATTCCATAATTATCCTGAAGAATATATGTATAATACGCAGAATATAAAGTGGTATGACACAAAGGTTCCCAGAGTAGGGGTCATATGCTATGAAAGAGAAGACAAACCTGGTGTCGGCTGGCCGACTTCTCTAGTCCAGCAAATCGAGAAAGTAGCTTGTCTCTGATTTCTTCATCGATAGTAGAGTTCTCCCAAGGACATTGGGGATCGTAAAACTCCCATGGACTGTGGAGATTTGTGTCCCCAGTTTCATAGTTCACTTTGTATGTTTCCCACGGACTATCGGGAAATTCATCAGATTTGGCCTGAGAAGACTGAATTCTACCTTCCCACCATGTACCACCCTCACCAGTTTCGTTTCTCCACCACACTAGGCATCTATCCCCGGTTCCCCAGTTTCTTCTTATCGCAGCATCATACCGAGCCTTCTCCACAATAAAATCGGGGAAGTCGATAAGATCGGGCAGGGTCAATTGGATTTCTTGGCGGGAAACTCGGGGTAAAAGACCCAGAAGTCGGAGAGTCAATTTGCAGCAGCCCTCACCAGAACCAGGATAGGTGTCATAGTCGAGTTTCTCAACCTTGCAAATCTCAACAGCTCCCAGGTTTCGAGGAAGCAACCTCGAATGGTCCCTATCGGTTGAATCTCTGGATACTAGAAACTCTTTGTGACCCTGAAGTTTATAGCCAGAAAATTTATCAAAATTCTATATATCAAACAAGTTACAACATGAACTGAACATAGATAACATACAACCCATCCAAGGACCTACCTGTTTGAAGTAAACAACTTCATCACCGAGCTGAGGTATATAACGGAAGCCTTCCTCATGTTCTGACAACATCAACCACGATAATTTTCTCGGCACATTACTCAACTCACTCCCAGCAATAACACTTTTCTTACAGGTGCTGTAGCTGTTCTTGCTGCTTCTTGCAGATCGTGATCTGGTTGAACTTGAAGGCCATTCTTCAAGTGGCACGCGGTCAGTTGCTCTTGTGTAAGAATTGTGTTGTTTCTTTACCATCTCCATGGCTCCGGAACCCAACCTCACTCGTAATATGTTATTTCTCGTAATTGATTCACTTGATGTTGCCTTCATTTTCATTGACCTTTTCCGACGTATAGCATCAACTGCAGCTTCTCCATACTCAAATTCTGGTGCAGGAGAATCCAAAACATTGTACATGTTTCCACTGATCACTGGTTCAGAACCTGAAGCCTCCCGGTCATGGGACATTTCTGAGACTATAATCTGATTCATGGACGACGGATTTACATCTGTAGATCCACATCCGCGATCTGTGAAATCATCTGCCGAAGGACTGTTAGGCCGCTTAAGCTTTAACCTCAACTTCCGGACCTTCTTTGGAAGAATCTCATTGCTTTCCTCGGCATTACCTGTACCATCAGGCCCATTAATCAACTGATTAGACAACGCTTCAACACTCAGTGCATCTTCATCCCTGCAAGAATGCACAAAATTAGATTTTTGTGGGATTGAAACATAAAAGGTCAAGCCTTTTTTTTTATCTTGTAATCATCATCAAAACTCTCATACCTCTTAGAATTGCTTCGGCTTTCCTCCCAAGCAGTTTCAGTGGATTCAGAAACAAGCATTTCTTCTTTCCCCCTTGTCACATTATGCTCCAGATCCAAAGACTCGTACAACTGATTCTCAACATTTTCTCTCTGACAAGATTTCATGAAATCAGGCATATCCTGAGAGTTACCGTTTGCATCTACAGAATTTGACCCTGGTTCTTTGGAATAGATTTCTATAGCACTAACTCTGCGATTGTCCTCAGAAGATTGAAAAGTCAGTTGCTCAAAAGCAGTCTGGCTAATAATACCATCCTGTTTGTTTTCCTCGGTCCTCGCTGGCTTCTTAACCGAGATCTTTAGAATTAATTTTTTCTTCGGCATGCCATTTGACTGAGGGTCCAACATATCAGATGAATTTGCCACCTGGTGCACAGCAGTAAAACTTCTATCAGATTCAGAGCCTCGAATCTGTAGGTTTCGAGGAACGGATTCACTGTTTGATGAATCATTTAAGTCATCCTCATCAACTTCATCTGAAGAGCTACCAGAAATTTTAGAAAGCAAGGATCGAGCATTCTGGGCTGCAGCTCTTTGTGGCCTCAATGCCTTTACATCAGAGATTTTCCTCTTTGAACCCTTAAGGCCAATTCTTCCACTCTTGGTTCTCTTATTCATAGATGTCAAACCATCACTCTCCTCCAAAATCCTCTTATTGGCGCGCCTTCCAGATGAACTAGCAGCCTCAACCTGAGAAAGCGAGAGTCAGTTAGCCACTAGATGCAAACTAAACAAAGTAACAAGCGATAAATGAAACATACTTTTAGATGTTTGGTTCTTCTTTTCCGGTGGTTGCTATCACTATGGATATGTTCGGCATCACTATCCTCGGAGCTGCACTCAAGATCATCAGAAGAGCTGGAACACAAGCCTCCTCTAACTCCACCAGCAGAAATTTCTTCAGCATTGTATTCTGAATCATTATCATCACTCAGAACTTCAATTTCTGGTTCCCAGTACATAGCATCTATAAACTCGGGCAACGGCTCTATCATTCTGTCTAGATCTGCCAAAGGAGGCATAATATAATCTTCGCCTAAACTGAAGTCAGGACCAACAGCAAATTTTATCACAGGAGGACGCCATTCCAGGCCCAAGGCACCAAGTCTACGTTGCTGATACATTGTCTGGTATGGCTCCGGATAAGGAATCATACCTGAAACATTAAAAACAGAGAAAAGATGTTTAAAGATCAATTAGAATCTTAGATAATCTACATAGAGATAAGTTATGATAACGAACTTGAGTCACAAAGAGGATCCTGAAGGTTCCTTCGGTGGGGAACAAGTTGACTCTCCTGCGCCATGCAGATTACTATGCTTAAAACTTTGTCAACAATGATACAAGTGCAAGGAATTGTATCTCATGAATTCGTTCAAGCATCTTCAGCTTTTAAAACTGGAACATCTAGAAAAATGCTTTTCAGCTGAATTTCATTAGAAAGCTTGTTGAAATAGGGACTACAATGAAAGAAAAAGAGACCAGCACTTGCAACAAACCTGGTCAAGAACATTTCCGTTTGTATCCCGAATAAGAGGACGATAATCACCAAGGAAAAACTACGAGTGAAACAAGAAAAAAAATCAGAAAGAAATAGAAAACTGCAGCAGAAATTACAGCAACATAGTGGAGAATGATTGGGCAATCGAGACACAGAATCAACCTTACCTGGTCATATTTGGCATCCTTTTGAGACTCTCCTTGTCCCGTGTTTAGAAAATATATCTGGCCAACTTCATCCGAGAGCACTATAGATGTCCCATCTCTACATAATGGCAACAGAAAGCCACACATGAGAACTTAATCCTACAATTTTGCTTGGCGAAGTAAGAGCAAAATACCAATTCCGCAAAACAGAGGTAAAGCCAATTTTATTCAAAATTTAAGTGATAATCAGGGTTCTACAACAAATCTTAATCTGTATGCGGGTTCTCTTATCCCTTTACGCATGTAGCATAATGTCTCAAAGGTATCTTTGCAATGTTATCCAACACAGATACGGCAATATAAAAGCGTAACTACAAAGACTGGGGAAGACACAAGATCTTCTTTTGGACTTTCCATAGGCTACTTACTGTGAAAACTTCCCATCAACCAACTTGAATCGCCCGATTTCATATATTTTGATGGGTATACCCTCCCATATCTAGAAGTACGATAAAAACAAAGACTTAGGAGATAAGTGATACGATTAACCAGATACTTGAATAAAGGACTACATTTTCTTTTTTAAAAAAGAACTTACATCCCAGATTATTGTTCTTCCATCGTAGCCAGCGCTCATAGCTATCCGAGGATTAAAAGGATGAACATCCAAGACATAAGACTACAAAGAGCACACAGATAACACAAAACATTAGCATACATCTCAAAATAACTTTAGTCCATTGGCATTTGAGATGCAGAAGTTAACGCAAGTCATGCAAATGGAACAATAAATTCAAAGATAAAAGTAAAACATGGTTAACATGTGTCACAATGAAAAAATATGCATGGATCCCCCACTAATAAGATTTCGAGATAAGAATTGGAAATTTAGGCATTACAAACCGATTCCGTGTGACCAGTTAAACAATGCACCAAGCTACCATCAGCAGCATTCCAAACACATATCCTGCAATCTGAAAAAACAATGTTAGGTTTAGGAATCTTGAGGACAAAACTGAGTTTGTGTAATGCCTAAACACAGAAGAAAATGTTTTTTAATTTTCACATATTTCTCTGTCCACAACATATAAAAAAAATACCAGGTTCTTTGAAATGATAGTTACTGATTAATAGATTTTTATCATATGCTATTTACCCATGATGGCTGCGAGTACAAAACGATTGTCCAAGCTCCAAATGATCATATTCACACCCCGAGGTGTTGGAAGAAATCTTTGGCGTGGGCCTCCTCGGGGAGGTTGAGGAGGAAGTGGAGGTGGTGGAACCTTCAGATGATATGCTTTCGACCAGCGTCCAGATTTCCCCTGAAAAGTAGTATTGATTGATTATATTAACCTACAGTAAGGTATTTAAGTTACAACCATTTACGTTGAGAAAAAGATTTTACTCCAAGGTAAATTGATGAAGGAAACTTACGTGAGATTTACGTGATCTTGGAGTCCATATAATTGCACTACCGTCACGAGAACAGGTGACTATGTTGTCATGACAAAACCTAATGATAGCAACGAGTTCTTGCAGGGTCAAAGCCTAGAGCAGACTTGAAAAAAGAGAAGAATGAAGATGGTCTAACAGCAATAATCACATTCTTTAAACTTAGAGACCGACCAAGAATTCTTAAATTTTGGAAAACTGTCTTCTTTCAGAGAGTCAGATATTGAAGATCTTGGAGCCACAGCACATCCACTGTAAACAAAGGCACAACAGGTACTCTTAGATTTATTTCAAATGTTTTTCAATCAACAAAATGCAGAATGTGTGAAACATCCCGCAAATGATCATTTTTACTGGATATATACCTAAATTGAACATAGTTGACATCATTCTCATGCCCGCACAGAACATCCAGCTCATGCATCGGTTGTTCGCTCTCATCTGCATTAGGTTTTATGGCACTCCAAACCTGCAAGGTTACAATTGCGGATATACTAAATTGATTGAAACCGATTATCATTTTTATAAAATATGTAGAAAGGGTAAGACTCCAGAAAATTCAGAAATTACAATAGGAAACAACTAAAACTGAAAGTTTAAGACAAACCCTTGCATTGCTGTCAGAGCTCCCAGTGACGAAAACAGTCCCATTGGCATTGTAGGCACAACATAGAATTTGATGACTTTGAGATGCAATGCTTGCTGATGCCACATTAGTTGGAGCAGAATTGCTTTTACCTATGTGAAACTTCTAAAATGAGTTTTAAAACAAATATAATCTAACACTGCACAAGATAATGCTGATTGCAACATCTTCTAACCGGTGATAGCATCTGATCGGTTTGGTATATATATCCGTGGAATGCATTGAGAGTACCTAGCATCCCATATACGACAAGTTCCATCATCTGATGACCTACAGTGATAAGAATCACAGATCATCGATGAATGATTCAGTAAACACAGTCATAGTAGAGATACAGAAAAGCAAAGTTTGTTTCTCTGAGTAGAGACAGGTAATGTTATTAGGAACTAGCTAAAACATAAATCAATTGCCAAGGAAACAGGGCTGACGATAAAAGTTGGTAAACCGATGCAGGTCTTGGACTAAAGGCAATAGCAGTGACAGCCCCAGTATGCCCCCGCAACACAGAAATTGGCATTCCATCAGGCAATCGCCACTGCCATTATCAACAATACAATAAAGCTACCGAAAAAAAAAAGGAAAAAGTGTTAAGACTGATTACAGATAGGGAAAATTATCCTTACAACTCGAATCACAAAATCATTTGAAGCAGATGCCACCAAAGCGCTGTTCGAACTCACAGCCAAGTCTGTTATGTCACCCTTCAGGTCACATGCTCAGAGAGAGAGAGAGGGGAATATCAGTAGCAAATCAACAATGTATATCTTTCAAATACTGGGGGGAGAGGGAGGGGGATCACTCACTTCGTGGCCGCGACAGCTAGCCAAACAAAACGCAGTTTCCATTGACCAGATTTTGACGAGCCGGTCATCAGAACCAGTGATAACATACCTCCCAGCGCGATCAAATATAGCTACAATACAGAAGGAAATAGATCAATAACTATCCTAAAGAATTCTATGTAAAACAAGGCATTCAATGAACAACTTGCTTTATGAGATCCAAATATTATATACTTGGAAACTTCATCGTAAGGTGTGCATTTGGGATAACATCTAAAGACACATGTATGAAAGAAGGTATTGGATTCACAAAATCAGAGATCCTAAATATGAGTATAAAAGGGTAGGAAGAGCATACCACAGTAAACAGCATTACGATGGCCCCTCAGCTTCTTTACATTTTGCATCTTTTGAACAATCATTGATGGTCTAGCAATAGCATAACATGCTGAACGGATGGATGGAGCACGGTGGTGTTTTGTGAAACCTCCTCCAATTTCTCTTAGACTTAACCCACGTACTTGATCAGCTTGGATATGCGGCCAGCGTAAGTATGAGGCAACACGCCTAGCTTGTTGATTTTCCATAATTTTATCATCTTCAAAAATAAAAGGCCAACGTTTAAGAATAAAACAGAAATGCAGAAAAATCAGCAATCAAGAAATAAAACATGCAATGTAAGAACTAGAAAGGTCAAGAGAAGTTCTTTTAAGTAATAATATCATTGAGATGGGCTTAGTTTTCTTATACGAGATAATTTGACAGGCACTCGAAGACATTGTGACACACGCAGAATAGACCCTTTATACGCATAACCTAGAGTCACTCTCACTCGGGGTTCATAATGTCCTCCCTAGGAAAGTATAATTCCAAGCAATCCTTTCTAGAAACAATCTATGGTAAGGAATAGGATGCCTAAGCAAAAAGGCTCCCCTCTTGCTAATAATCATCCAGTAAAAGGTTTGAGCTAGTTATTAATATTATGATCACTTGCTGAAAAGAAATAAAGCCAATAAGAATGCTTCAGACAAGGGCATCCAAATAAAATAAATAAATAAATAATCCCTAGTTTCAACCAAACAGTTAATTGTGCTTATACTCGTGGGTAAGCTTTGATCTTGGGTCTATAAAGTAAATGAAGAGAAATTATAACGTACGATCCAAAAGTGAAAAAGAGCCACATCCCAATAGCGTTGGAACATCAGCAGCATTTGGAGCATTTCCTTCAACTCTCTCGTGCAGAGGAGAAGAAGAATTTAGAATGAGTTGCTTGAGAAGCTTCACCAAGTGATCCTTCTCGATATGAGGGTACCTGTCAGTTAAAGAAACATAATTTCACTATCTAAAAAGACATAAAAATAATAAGGGATATAGATCGATGCACACTCATGTCCACTGTTGCTAAAGAGTAACCATCAGATCTTATATCACCAAAAGAGAAATTTACCTCTCTTCCAAGTTTCCATAACTTAATGGGAGGGAAATACCATCATCATCAGCATGCCCGCTATAAGTGCCACTTCTTGAGCACCGAGAATGATATCTACGAGGTAAAAGCTGGTTTTCCAAAAGCTCATCTCTCAAGTGACCTAAGGTTCGTTTGCAGGGCCCGGTAGAAAGAAAATGCAAAATCAGGAAGTAGACTTCTCTAAGATCAATATCTACATTGTTCAGAGAAGCATGACCAGCGAGTCTCTCCTGCTGGTCAAAAGGGATGTTATCCTGAGCCACATCTGTCAGATTTGAAGTTGCCTTACAAAGAGAAGCTTTGTGTATCCACTCCATATTACCTACACCTGGGAAGGACAAGCACTTTTTAAATGGCATATATCGGACAAATTAAATGCTGCTGTCCGAACAAAGCCTATTTCTTTATTGGTGCATCAACCACAAAAAGCAAACAGCCTAAACTCCGGACAAACCAAATATCAACGCACTCAGTTTTAAAGTAGCATTTATGAAAGCAAGAGACGCATCTAAAATCAACATTCCGCTGAAATAAATTATGTCAGTTAACCAAAACTGAATTAGGGCAACGACTGTTTCTGTTCCATTGATCGGACAAAATCAAATCGCATTGGCTTGAATTCATCTCACACTTCACCTCTACAAAACGTTCCACATGGCAGAGATTAAAAAAAAAAAAACAAGCACGATACCAGAGAAAATGTATTCCCCACCATTAAGCGCCACATACAATTGAATCAGGAAGTATCAAATCAAACATAATCCTAAACCCTCCTTTTAGGGATTTACCAACAAAACGAATGCAGGTTCCTATCAATAACCATCACTAATCAAAAGCCCCGAGATCTAATCACATAGAAACACAGCCGCATAAACAAATGGAATTCAACACAAACTCGCATTCGGAGCTAATAGCTGAAGGAGAAGGCAATCGAAACTTTTTTTTTTTTGTAAAAATGTAAATGCAAGGCAATCGAAACTTACCGGGAACGAACTAGGGTTTAGCTGAGAGACATCAAGATCTGCAAAGGACTAACGCACCACTCTGCAGAAGATAAGGAATGACTGGGGAAATAGAACTCGATTCGCGGTTTCAAGATTCGGTAGAAATACAGTGAGAAATCAGATAAGCCCACAAAAGAGGAGCGAATTCGAAGAATCCGATGTTCCGAAAACAGAAGAAGAACAGGAACACGTTACATTCTGCGATTGTTCGGGTTTCCTGTCACGAGCACGATATCTCCGACTCCGGGTCGAGAAAAGGGGAGAGAGAGATCGCAGTCTGCTCTGTGAGAAAAAAAGGAAACAAATTAGAAAACACTAAAAGTAAACATTTAGGAAAAACGAAAAGAAAGGGCGTTCGGCTAAGGGGGGCCGTTCTATGATAGAATGACAGATATACCCCTCGCTTGGTGCGGCTTTCTTCTAAAACTCCTCAAATACTCAAAGGGTATCAATGTCTTTTAGTAGTAGTAATGGCGGCCGCGCCTGCTGGTGGCTCTGATCTGATGGTCCGGGTGACAAAAAAAAAACACCAAATCTGCCCGTTTTTTTGTTCGTTTTCAAAAACATAAAACATTAGTTAATCAGATTTTTTTATAAAAAAAAAAAGAGAGAAAATACACAAGGCAAAAAGCGATTACCACCAACAAATCCAATTTATTTTCCCCACATGTTAATAGATTTTTTCCTAAATCATACGCACAAAAAAAAGTGTATGGACCATGTTATAGTACATAAATATCCAAAGATTTTTTGTTCGCTTAATATCAAATATCTGAAGAAAATTAGAATAAAAAATAAGCGAAACAAACACGCAATCCATCGATTTACGTGATCGATGCATGCATGATCGCGGACAGCCAAAAATATAAAAATCCCGGCTCCCATGGACATTAAAAAACGAATAGTTTATGTAAATATCCTCATGTATAATTTACCAAAAATATAAGCTTAAACATGCGATTTCTTGGTATAATCCTCGCATTTCTGCATAAAATTCGTGACGAGCCCGTTATAAGATCTGGGCCAATAAAATTTACAGAAACTGACCGGCCCACTTAGGCCCATATTGAAAAGCCCCGAGATTAGTCCGACGAGAGAGTCCAGCAGTGACAGCCAACTCTTGTGGGTATAATAAATTCTTTTGATAATTAAATATAATACATTACATTACATTATGACCATAAAAAAATAATAATAAATTCAAACAAGTATAGATATTTTTATGTCTTTAAAATTAGGGCTATATTTGTGTGTGTGTGTGAATAAAGGCATGAATTAGGGCAGGTTCTGGATCATTCACACTTTTATTTTTGTTTAATGGTAATGCGGTTCATTTATGCTTTTATTCCACAGCTTTTATTTGGTCAAATATTTGCACTTTAGTTTGTGGAAGTTACGTTATTATTATATAACATTTTCCCATCTTTATAATGGCTGGTCCCCTGCCTAGTTTTAACGTTTTCATTTCCAGCCCCTTTTTTTTTGTTTGAATGTATTCCATTAAACTGTTAAAACATTACATTCGGTCAGACCAAAACGACCGCATTCCTACGTACAAGGAATCTCATGGACAAATGGTAATGAGTAAAATAAAATGATGCAATCTCAAAAGTTGGTTCTGATGTTTTCGGTTAAGGAAAAACCAGTGTTCGAATATCAAATTGTTGTCGGTGCGTTTCTGACCCTTAACTGAAAGGAAAATATTCCTAATGACATGATCTAACGACTGACGAATTGCAGCGATCGGTCTTGCTTGATTCCTAAAAATCTGGTTTTTTCGCTCTCTCCAAAGCTCGTAGACGACCACCTGCAATACCAGTTTCGCTATGGTTCCATGACGGCAATGGCCACTTGTACTTGGCATATCAATACGAGCATATCATGCATGCCATGGGGATAAAATACAATACAATGTCATCATACCATGACAATGGAAAGGGGATAATGCTGTTCTACACATAACCAAGTCATTGGATGTGAGGTAAGGTAAATGCATATTGACATACACACATATATATATATGTGTATAATATATATAATTGGCTGGCTTTGTTGGTCTTTATATATATATATATATTGATTTCAGTTGCGTGACAAGCAATGAAAAAACGTGATTTTGGGGCTAAAAGAATGTGGAATCTATCGTGTTGAGGTCATAAATCGTGCGTTCAACGTCACATGGCATTCCTCACACGAAAACTTACATTACAATATAGACTTTACCTTTTCATATCATATTTCTAAATGAAAATTTTATATTGGATGTTTAGGTCACACCACCCACGTGTCCTAATTTTTTTTGGACCAACTCCAACACGTCATATTATTTATATAACTAGGTAAATATACGAAATTTTATATCAAATTGTGGTTGGGATTTGGAACTTGGCATATGAATGATATTTCTCCCTGTCTATACACAAATATGCACGTATGTACATGTTTCCCTGTCTATACACAAATATGCACGATCACTAAACATTTGAGAGAATATTCGGAGAATATTCCACCCTTTTAGAGGATATTACAAAAATGTACAAAAGACGTGTTTCCCTTTAAGATATAGTCCAGCTGGCGTCACGGATCAACTTGGGGATAAACTAATAATTATCCTAATTGGTGGAAAAAAATTAATAATTATCATAATTTTTTAATTGATTAAAAATCGGAGAAAATCTCTCACCAGCCAAGCATTTTTCCTTTATAAACCCTCCCCTGAGCACCGTGAGAACCTTCTTTCGTCTGGCTTTCGGGTCGAGGGTTGTGTGCGGCTTAGAGATCAGCTAAGTTTTTTTTCTTGTTTTCTCTTTCGATTCCACCTCTTTCATTTCCATTTCGATCCGGGAGAGTTTCGTTTGGGTTCAATTCTTATCGCTTCCGATCTGTTTCTTCCTTGGTCAGATCTGTTCGAATTCGATTTAGTTCTAGGGCTCTTTTGTTTGGGAGTTATTGGTTATTGGATCTGGGGGTCGTCTCGATGAATTAGGTGTTCTGGGGAAACGCAAATGAATCTAGGTTTTCTATGAGCTACGCGATCCTAATGCGTCGGATTCGTATTCTGCACTCCTTCTCGGTCGTGTTCCTCTACTGGTTCTACGTTTTCTCATGAACTGATCACATCCGGTCCGATCTGATTCTCGCGATTGTGATTTCCAGCAAATTCGTTTGATCTAACTCAATTCTTTTGTAGTTTAGGAAACGGAACACAAATCCTTTTTCTAGAATTTCAAAAGTGATCTCTTTTAGCGAATCTAGTAGTACGTATTTGGGTTTTGGGGAAAAAAAGCAAAGGAGGTGTCAACATATGGCATCGATGCAAAGGCAGGTGAGTCCGGAACCGGAACATGATCCGAGGTACGGGACCATAACTGACGAGAGGAAGAGGAAGAGGATGATTTCCAACAGGGAATCCGCTCGGAGGTCTCGGATGAGGAAGCAGAAGCAGCTGGAGGATCTGGTCAATGAAGTGACCGCTCTCAAGAAGGAAAACTCCCAAATTTCTGAGCAGATCGATGCAGCTACAAGGAGGTACATTGATATGGAGGCTCAAAACAACGTCCTGCGGGCGCAGGCCTCGGAGTTGACCGACAGACTGAGATCGTTGAACTCGGTGCTGGAGATGGTTGAAGAGACCAGCGGGCTGGCTCTGTATATCCCTGAGATTCCGGAATCTATGCAGAATCCATGGCAGATTGCCTGCCCGGTGCAGCCAATCATGGCGTCCGCTGATATGTTTGAGTTCTGATGGGGAGGTTCTAATTTATGTTTATTTCTATACATACACATATATATATATATATATATATATATATATATATATATGCATTTTAGTGTTTTGTTTGATTCATTTGAAAATTTTCATTTACAGGTTAGAAATTTTGCGTTGTGGCTCTCATTTGTTTCGTGTTTTGCCTCTATCTGGTCCATTAGCCATCTTCTGTATCAGCTTACGAGCAAGAAGAACTACGCATGTGACATTCTTGCATCCACGTCTAAGCATTGAGATGCCTCTTGAAACCAACGACCGCACCTAATCGAACACTGAGCTGGTCATGTCCCAAAAAGGAGCAGATTTTTCTTGGAGCAATCATTACACGACAGTGTGTATCGACCGTCTAAACCATGCGACAACTAATCAACATTACAGCAGACACTAGACCAGTCCAGTCCCAATATATATAACCAGAAACAAACATCAATTATCGTATGTACGGCACTCGTCGGCTTCGGGATTGTCCTTACAGTAATTCTCGAGCGGGTCGTTTCCGCCGGCCTTCTGTTTGTCCCTGGCGTGGCTAGCCGCCGCGCTCAGCTCCTCGACCTCGTCCCACGCCGCCACGCACTCGCCGCTCGCCGGGTCGTCGGAGCATGTCTCCTCCGCCTCCTTTATGCTCTTCTCCACCTTCTCCGATATCCTATCCGGCGCCGCCGCCCTCACCTGTCGGACACGACCCGATCCCATCCGGGTTGTCCCGGTCCCCATCTTCCACGGGTAGCTCAGGCTGACCGGGCCCGCGCGACGAGCCTGGGTTGAGCCGTTGGCGACCACTCGCGGGGTTGCAACGTTGAAACTTGATATCGTTGCCATTTTCCGACTACTGTTGGGTGAAGAAGATTGCGTCTTTTTTTAAAAGGAGAGGTATATCAACGAAGATGACGATGTATTCGGTGCATGTATCGATTTCTGTGATACTGATTCTCTTATCATCTTAAAGCCAATCACAATGCACGCTTTGTTGAGATATTTTAGAATATTCGACCATACAAAAAAAAAATCTTTAAAATGCTTTTTTTTTTTTTTTTTTCTGAGAACCAATGTATTGACAACGTTCTCGACATTGCTAGCCATTAACCAGTTTACTCAGACAGGAAAAAATCTCTTATTTGGTAGTTTTCGGCTTCATAATATAGCATCCGCGAAATAATAGTCACTGTTGGGCTGGGCCTTAGCCTAGGCCCAGAAAAGGTTATGTTCACACAGATGTTACGGTATGCTTGACCTCACCTTACAAAAGCCCTCTCCGATATTTTCAGCTTTTTTTTTTAATTTTATTTTATTCGAATAATCGATCTTTTTAAAATTTGATTGGATTCTGGGCATCGGAATTGCTTTGCCGTTCCACTGGGCAAAGTAGGGAGAAACTATACGTAGAAAAAGGTTCCGATGAAATTGATGCGCGTTGACAAAGTTTACCATCGCCTCTCTCTCTCGCCTCTCTGCCATTTCTCTCTTCCTCCTCCGCCGTCTTTCTCTCTCCTCTCGCCGCAGGGACTCGCCGGATTCTCGACTCTCCGTTCGCGTCGCTGCGCCGCGCTCCGCCGCTTCTCTGGCAACTCGCCGAAGCCTTTGATGTCTTCAAGGTCTGTTTCTAGGCTTCACTGCCCCCTTTCTGCCCTCCCTGCCGCTTCAGAAGACGGTGGAGGCGGGTCTAATGGCTCGGCTTCAGCTGCTGTTGTGGCGGCTACTGAAGATGATGGTACTTCAATGCATCTACGATACGGGCTCTTTTTCCCCTCTCTTTTCGTTCTACGGATTCACATAGTTATGTTTTTTTGGCTTAGATTCTGTATTCTCGTGCTTGATGCATTCATTTTAGTTTCCTGCGTACAAGTTTCATTAAAAATTGCAATTGGGTTTTGTATGATTGGCTTTGTTTGAAATTGATCTGGTAGATGCGCACAATCTGGTTTCCATTGCTCGTTTGGTTTTGGGTGACGATGTATTACGTTGTTGTCCGAGAAAAAGATCCTTTTGTTGGAACTAATTCTCTGGTCCCATTTTTGCTGAGTTTGGGGATGGAGAACGGAAGTGCGCTAGAGCCGTGCTTCATGTAGTTATATCTTGATCGTCCAACGCACGTGTGTGTTCGATGAGTTTTGTCTTCCGTTCAATGTTTTTCCAACTTCGTTTGAGTGTAAACTCATCTGATATTAGGCACTGATAAATTGTCATCCTTATTTGGGTATTCAGTGTGTAGTGACTGAAATTTCCTCTATGTTTGTATGAACTAGACTTGGCGATAGGCAATGAGTATCGCCTTCCTCCATCCGAGATCAGAGATATTGTGGATGCCCCACCTCTCCCAGCATTGTCATTTTCGCCCCACCGGGATAAAATCCTATTTCTCAAACGTAGAGCTTTGCCTCCACTGGCAGATCTGGCCAGGCCCGAAGAGAAGCTTGCTGGCATCCGAATTGATGGTCAGTGCAATACCAGAAGCCGGATGTCATACTACACTGGTATAGGAATCCATCAGCTAATGGCTGATGGTACACTGGGCCCAGAGAAGGAGATCAGTGGCATTCCGGATGGTGGAAAGATTAACTTTGTCACATGGTCCAATGATGCAAAGCATTTGGCTTTCAGTGTTCGGGTCGATGAGAATGGAATCAGCAGCAAGCCTAGAGTATGGGTTGCTAACGTCGAGACTGGGGAAGCTAGACCACTTTTTAATTCCCAAGATATCTACCTGAATGCGATTTTTGAGAGTTTTGTTTGGATTGATAACTCCACTCTGTTAGTGAGCACGATCCCTTCATCTCGCGGCGACCCACCAAAGAAACCTTTGGTCCCATCTAGCCCCAAAATTCAGTCTAACGAGAAGAAGAATATTGTCCAGGTTAGAACATTTCAGGATTTGCTCAAGGATGAATACCATGCTGACTTATTTGACTACTATGCTACGGCACAACTAGTTTTGGCTTCCTTGGACGGTTCATCGAAGGAAGTTGGGCCACCTGCAGTATACACGTCAATTGACCCTTCCCCGGATCACAAGTTTCTTCTAATTACATCGATTCATAGGCCATATTCCTACATTGTACCTTGTGGTAGATTTCCCAAAAAGGTGGAAGTCTGGACAAAGGATGGTAGATTTGTAAGGCAGCTCTGTGATTTGCCCCTAGCTGAAGATATTCCCATTGCATCCAATAGTGTGCGGAAAGGAATGCGTTCTATAAACTGGAGAGCAGACGAGCCGTCAACACTCTACTGGTAAATATTTGAGAAGGAAATCAACATATGTGTTGTATTTGTATGTGTTACCTTTTCTTCATTTTTTCCCATCTAATTCAGTATTCTCTGAGTTTTGTAGGGCAGAAACACAAGATGGAGGTGATGCTAAAGTGGAAGTTTCGCCACGTGATATAGTCTATGTGCAGCCTGCAGAACCATCTGCAGGCCAAGAACCAGAAGTTTTACAAAAACTCGATCTTCGTTATGGGTAAAGACATATGGCCTATTTTCTGTTGGTTCTGGTTATCGATAGTTATTTTCCATTGCCTTCTCCAATTTCTCTGATCAAATCAACTACTTGATAAGATCAGGTTCTCATTTATGCAGAGGAATTTCCTGGTGTGATGATTCACTAGCTCTGGTTTACGAATCATGGTATAAAACAAGACGAACAAGGACATGGGTTGTCTCTCCTGGATCTAAAGATGTCAGTCCACGCATTCTATTTGATAGATCATCAGAAGATGTGTACTCAGACCCTGGCTCACCCATGCTGAGGAGAACTTCCACTGGGACATATGTGATAGCTAAGATAAAGAAGGAAAATGATGAGAGCACTTGCGTCTTATTGAATGGAAACGGGGCTACACCAGAAGGGAATATCCCCTTCCTCGACTTGTTTGACATGTGAGTCGTTAACACTCATCCTTCTCGCCTTTTTTTCCTTATGCTCTAATCTCTATCATGTGGTAAAATCGGGAATGGCACTTTCCAAAATTTCATCTAGAAATACAGGCAACAAAGAACGGATCTGGGAGAGTGACAGGGAAAAGTATTACGAGACAGTTGTTGCCTTGATGTCTGACCAGAAAGAGGGAGATTTAAGATTAGAGGAGCTGAAAATCCTAACATCGAAGGAATCTAAAACAGAAAACACTCAATATTTTCTTCAAACTTGGCCTGAAAAGAAAGTATGCCAGATCACAAATTTTCCTCATCCATATCCCCAGTTAGCATCGTTGCAGAAAGAGATGATCAGGTATCAAAGAAAAGATGGGGTCCAACTTACTGCAACATTATATCTACCACCAGGCTATGATCCATCGAAAGACGGTCCTCTTCCTTGTCTGTTTTGGTCTTACCCTGGAGAATTCAAAAGCAAAGATGCCGCTGGACAAGTCCGTGGCTCTCCAAATGAATTTCCAGGCATAGGTCCAACTTCAGCCCTTCTTTGGCTTGCTAGAAGGTAAGAAATGTTCTCCCACCGTTTGCTTGGGTTGCCATTTGCGCTTGTTTTATTGCGCTATCATTTATTCCTGGTGTCTACTTTATCGCCCTTCTGGGTGACTATGGCTCTTCTGTGTTTGTACAGGTTTGCTATATTATCTGGGCCTACTATACCTATTATCGGTGAAGGTGATGAGGAGGCAAATGATAGGTACTCTGATCTTTGTGTTTCAGACTATGGTCACCCTCCACGGATGGAAAACATGTATTAATCTTTTTCAAGAACCTCTAAAAATGGAAAACGACAACACATCGTCGTTATCTTTGGAAAGGTTTTCTGTCATTATAAGCTGATGAAAGAAATGGGAGGTGCTGATATATGTTTCAAGAGGAACCTTCTAAACTTTAGATCTGAGATGGGCTTGAGCTTGACAGATCCTAATGTGAACAACTGAAACTTATTGTTCAGGTATGTGGAGCAACTGGTTGCAAGTGCGGAGGCTGCTGTGGAGGAAGTTGTCAGACGTGGAGTAAGCCCTTCTCACTGTCTTCATAAACCCATGCTTCTTGCTATTGTATTGCGCACAAAAGTTGACATGACTTCTCTATTCCACCACCATATACGAATACAAAGGTGGCTCATCCGAGCAAAATTGCCGTTGGTGGGCACTCTTACGGAGCATTCATGACTGCAAATCTCCTTGCTCATGCTCCTCATCTTTTCAGCTGCGGGATCGCTCGCTCGGGTGCATACAACAGAACACTCACACCATTCGGTTTCCAGGTAACATGCTAGTCTCATCATCATCGCTCTTTTCATTTCGTCCTTCTTTTCACCTTCCTGAATGGTCTTTGCTCTTGTTGTGTGTTTGTGATTGATGTCTCAGAACGAGGACAGAACCCTATGGGAAGCTACCAATACATATGTAGAGATGAGCCCGTTCATGTCCGCAAACAAAATCAAGAAGCCGATCTTGCTCATGCATGGTGAAGAAGACAATAACCCGGGAACTCTTACTATGCAGGTTGAAACTTGAAACATCTCTCATATGCACACATTGATGCGAATGTCGATTAAATGCTCATGCTCTCTCAAGTCATAAACTATTACCGATGATTTCTATTATTGATAATGGGTTTGCTAACATATTCATCTCACTCACACCGCTTTGAATGAAATGATACAGTCGGACCGCTTCTTCAACGCGCTGAAAGGGCACGGAGCTCTTTGCCGGCTGGTGATACTTCCATTGGAGAGCCATGGTTACAGCGCTCGGGAAAGCATAATGCACGTTCTCTGGGAAACAGACCGGTGGCTTCAGAAGCACTGTGTCCCAAACACATTGGAGGAAGACACGAAGAAGGAAGCCTCGGACTCGGATTCAGCCGACAAAGCAGCGGCTGGGACCGGAGGTTGTAACCCCGAGCTCGATGAAGAACTTCACGTCAATCCCAGGAGGTCACTTCTTTGGTAAAGTCTTACCTTCCTATGTATACACAACCCAAACCACACACAGATATCTATATCTATATTTTCATGTTCAGTACATATATCCAAACTGTTTCTATACAACATTTGAATCTGCCCGTTTTATAAGCAGTATCGTTGTTTCATGTTTTTTTTTTTGCCAGATGGAATCTTCGTTATATATTACAGGACATTGGGCGATACATGGAATCTTCCGTGCGGACCAACATCATAAATGGACCGGAGGACTTCGTGTTTGATTTTTAAAAAAAGCATTTAAATATTTAAATATTCATTCCCCAAGACATTGAATTATATTATTGACGTTGGATCTCTTGGCCTTAGTAATAACAAGATCGATCCTTCCATGAATTACAAAAAATCTTTGTTGAAATTAATATGTAGACAGTATCAGAAGTATGATCTCTTTATTTCTTTCAAATGTAACTCGTTATGATTCACAGAATTTCCGATGTTTGATTTGGGACTTAATTCTTTCATTTCATGACTTGTTAAAAATATCAGATTTATATTTTAAAAATCGGTACGTAATTATTTAATAAACTTGGTAAATTGTTTTAATAATCAAACAATAGTTTGAAATTGATAAGAAAAAGTTATTTAAAAACAATTATTGTATTAATCTATTAAAATTTAGTCATAATATTAATATCAGCAGGTTATCAATCACGATCATTTGTAAAAGCAACGATACAATTGATCGGATTGGGTTTATCCTAAGAAGTAGCATACAGAACAAAAATGCCGTAATCATTATTCCGAAAAGGGGCAGTTTAATTGAATAAGCAAATGTGAGCCAAACGCAAACGCAACCGCAACACAACCGCGATCGCACAAAACGCTGGTCCGAGGCGCCAGCAGAACACGAGGGGCAATTATGGAACTTACTTCTTTCGTGATTGTGTTTTTTTTCCCTAGTTTACTTTAATTCAATTATATTATTATTATTATATATATAATGCTCATTATTAATAGTTCACGAGCTTGGACGAACGTCGTTGTCCATCACCGAATCTCCACTGCTAACCATCCCCTTGACGTTGATTTCAATTTGTTTTTTCAAATCTAAAGTCTTTGGATTTGATAATCACTTCAGAAAATGATTGCGATACATTTTTGCACATAAACTTCGTCTCTAATCCGTAAGCTCTCTCGTCTGTGCTCTCACACTCGTGGCTAGGTGAGCGAGAGATGGAGAGGCAAAGGAGTTTCTCGTTGAAATCTACGAGAATCTTGGCATTAATCATCGCAATTTCCTCCGCCATTGTCGTTCTAGCTGTCTTCTCCATATGCTTCTCCAAATCTAACCCTTTGCTTTACGCGAGCGCCACCGGCTTTCAGTTCAACGAGACGTCGCTCCATAACCTATCTTGCTCCGTCTCCGATTCCTCGGCTTCCTCTCAGCAAGACCCGATTTTAATCTCGACCCGTTTCAATACATCCGATAACATTTCCGGGTTCGCTATATTTCCTGATTTCGAGAAGAAGGTACGAGAGGAGGCTGTTGCTCAGAAAGATGGTGTCGATGATAATTTAACTTCTGTAGTTGAGGCGGAGACTGTGATTGAACTTCCGAGCAAAGTTAGAGAGAAGAAAGCGAAGGGAATAGAAGAGTGCGATGTTACGAAAGGGAGGTGGGTCTATGACGACAGCTACCCTCTCTACGCAAACGCGTCTTGCCCCTTCATCGACGAAGGATTCAGCTGCCAGAGCAACGGAAGATTGGATAGCGACTACATGAAATGGAGATGGGAGCCACGAGATTGTGATATTCCCAGGTAATCTATTCTTCTTCGCGTTTGTCTTTTTCTTCTTGTTCTTGAGATCTCAAATGGGTTTTGTTCAGGATTCGCGTGGGGTAAACGATGATTGTGATGGTATTGGCTGATGATAATACTGGTTCCGTAGTATTCTTACCCAGCATGGGCAATTGATTATGTTTTACCATTTCATGGGAGATCTTCCTGATTGAGCATTTTGGTGTGTGTATCATTATAGGTTCAATGCCACCAAATTGCTGGAAATGATCAGAGGGAAAAGGCTAGTTTTCGTTGGAGATTCGATAAACAGAAACCAGTGGGAATCCATGCTTTGCATGCTGTTTGCTGCTGTAAGAGACCCCAAGAAAGTGTACGAGACTCATGGCCGGAGAATCACCAAAGAGAAAGGGAATTACAGCTTCCGGTTTGCGGTATATGACCCAACCCCTCTAAAGACTCGAGCTTGATCTTAAAGTTTCGTTTTCGGCTAGTTGTCATTCGGTGTCCTTATGCGCTGTTTCGATTAGGATTACAGATGCACTGTCGAGTATTACGTGACACATTTCTTGGTTCGTGAGAGCAAAGCAAGAATTGGACAGAAGAGGCGGCCTACTCTGAGAATTGATGGCATTGACCGCAGCTCTTCGAGGTGGAGAGGGGCTGACGTATTAGTGTTCAATACAGCTCACTGGTGGTCTCACTACAAAACCAAAGCCGGGTCAGTATGGCATATTTTCTGAAAGAAGATGACAGCATCCAAAGAACAATGATTCTTTCGAGCTCCTGATCTTGATCTGAATTAGGGTATAACCCAACATCAAGCCGATGAATCTTTGGAACCTAAAACACATATTGCTGTTCTCTTGTATCATCATATCATCAGGATCAACTATTACCAAGAAGGAAACCAAGTTCATCCAAAGCTAGACGTATCAACAGCTTTCAGAAGAGCTCTCGAGACTTGGTCATCATGGGTTGACAAACACATCGACCCAAAGAAAACCCGCGTGTTCTTCAGAAGTGCATCGCCTTCCCATTTCAGGTTTTCATCTCTAAATAAGGAAACCCTCTTTTCTATTTGAGGTCTCTGCATCTCCATTAAATGATCTTCTCCTGGACAGGGGAGGAGAATGGAATTCGGGAGGGCATTGCAGGGAGGCCACCAGGCCCTTCAATGAAACATCAAAACCCAGTTACTACAACTCAGACAAGAACTGGATCGTCGAGGAAGTGACAAGGCAGATGAAAACCCCGGTCACTGTCCTGAACGTTAGCAGTCTGTCTGAATACAGAATAGACGGCCATCCTTCCATATACGGGACGAAACCCGAAAATGGAGGCCATGGATCTGTTCAAGACTGCAGTCACTGGTGCCTTCCTGGCGTTCCAGATACCTGGAACGAGTTGCTCTACTTCCATTTGCTAAACAAAAGATAGAACACTGTCCTGTCTGTCATATGTTACGTTGACTTCTTCGAGAAAAGTTTTCAAGGAAACTCGATTCAACTGCGTACCTTAGATAACCAAAAAAAAAAAGGGTAAAGGTTGAATGAATGACGTCTCTGCATTTCAAATCGTCCAAGCTAAATTTACTGGCTCCAAATGGCAATAACGTGTAACAGATTCAATATTGTACATGATGTCTCATTTCCTCCTCTTTATGTATATCGGTTTTCTCCGTTTCCTTTTCTAATTTAAAAGGGTAATTTTTTTTAAAGAGTTTACGGGAATTTATATATAAATCGTTTAGAAGTCGGTGTATGATCGTTGGGCATGGACAGTGGACACGAGTCTCTTATTGAAACAGTTTGGTACTCAGGCGGCTATAAAGGCAGCCGATTTATTAATGAAGCGGATGTCACAGAAAGAGACGCTAATCTCAGAAGCTTTGTCTTTGTCGTTTACTATCCAACTCTTCCTCTGTCCGCCTTGCCAGCACCTGCTCTCAGTGTCCGTTTACATCTCTCTCTCTCTCTCTCTCTCTCTCTCTCTCTCTCTCTCTCTCTCTCTGTTCCTGAGCTTCTGGGTGTAAGAGAGGTATCAGACTGGTCTGTAATGGAGCAGGACATGGAGCTTGTGGGATTTTAGAATTAAAGATCAGAAAACTAGTAAATGCATAAACGACGCTCTAAGCTCGGTGAAGGAGAAGACTAAAGTTTAATGGAAAAAAGGAGAGTTGATATTATTAATGAATAATACAGTCACGTACATAAAGAAGTCCATGAGAAAACATAGAAGGAAAGAACAAAATACATGGAATAGTAAATAAAATCAAACGGCTATAAATCTAGACCAAAATCAATTTGTCCATGATTTAGGTTTGATTTGAGTAGAATATTAATCTCTCAAACGGTCACTTTAACCATTGACCAAAGGTGGAAACTTTGTCCTTGTATCACATCTTGCCTTATCGATTCATCATTGTCACCAAGTTTACTTGTGTTTGTCTATCCAAAATGTTTCTTGTCTCACAAGCTATCGTCGAGTATATGAGAACGTCCAAGTGTGTATTAGTGTCCGATCTATTCTTTTCTCCAACATTCCCCCTCAAGATTGGTTTGGATGAAAGTCGAGAAACCGATCTTGCCGAATATATGTCTCCCCATGGCGGTTCTTTTGGTTTGTCCACCATTGCACATGTTTGTTTAGACTTTATTTTCTGTATACACTCGAAAAAATGGTTAGAAAACACAAGGGAGGTCATGACACTCCGATTGATATAAGAAAGCGAATGTAGAAATGTAATGATATGTTTTCTATCAAATAAAAGTAGAAATAATGTTCTAATATGCATGAATGCTAAATTTGATAATCTTGACACATGAAACATTATTTGTAAGATAGGATTCACATTTGGTTTTGTATTTAAACAAAACACATCTCTCAAATTTTTATTGAACACTAAAAGCATGTTGGTTATATCTTTTTCATGGTCAAGTGTGTTTCGAACAAGTATATCTTGTTCATTATACAACACATGTATATGTTTTTCGGGATAAAAGATGTAAGGCTTGAGAGTGTTTTTACCAATCCTAGAGTTGTTGAAACTCATAGGTAATGTTACGTGTTTGTCGGTCATTTTCCCATGCATTGGCATTCGTCGTCGTACATGGACGACCTTTGTATCCGTGAGTGTTTGTTTTTCATCTCGACATTCCGTCATGAATGTGTTCTTTATTTTCTGTCCAAAGACACTTAAAATACCAAACATATCATTAGGAATAACAAACTCAAAATGAATTGGACTAAAGAAAGAATGACAAACTCTATTTTCGATGTATTGGAAGTGCATGCTCGGGTTTGCTTTGGGAAGAACGAACGGAACAAGACTGTTCTCCATAGATGATGCCTCATTTTCAAGCTTCTTTGCCTCCGTTTGTAGGTCATCATCCTTCACGAACTTTATTTGATTCCTTTCTTCTTCTTTGTTTGAGCAATCTAACTCTCCCGAATGCTCGACTTTTTCGTTTTGTGTCGGTTTTTCTTCGTCCTCATCATTAGATTGTTCATTCAACGCCTCATCAACCGCACACGTGAGAGTATTTTTCACATATTCCCCCTCACGTTGTGGATGTATAGGCGTCATGTTTTCAAGGAAGAAATCGCGGACGGTTTGGTCGGTCATCTCTTCTTCCGACAACCATCCATTTTGTTCTCCTTTGTTGAAATTTTCAGTGCGCTCTTCGCACCACATCATCTTTGCCTCCATGAGGGATATTTTCCCTTTGGCTTTTATAACCTGCAAAATCATTTTGTTGTGTATACCATCCAAAAATCCAAGAAAGGTATAAAGTTTACGTGTTTCGATGCTGAGATCGGGATGAAGCTCCTTCATTTTATCCCAAACGCCCTTGAACGCCTCGTTTCTGTGTTTCTCAAGCATGTTACTCCATGCATTTTGGAGCAACTTGAATTTGCGGATGTACTCAAAGGTTGCTATGATCTTGAAGTCTTCATATGCCAATTGGTATGCCATGTTTCTCTCCTCCTGCGGTGTTTATTTGACAAGAGGGGTAGTTTTTTTTTTTTCGAAAAATCTATGCAGCGGAAAAAAAAAGAATAATGGTCACCATGGATCTTGCTCTGATACCATGTGGGATTTTAGAATTAAAGATCAGAAAACTAGTAAATGCATAAACGACGCTCTAAGCTCGGTGAAGGAGAAGACTAAAGTTTAATGGAAAAAAGGAGAGTTGATATTATTAATGAATAATACAGTCACGTACATAAAGAAGTCCATGAGAAAACATAGAAGGAAAGAACAAAATACATGGAATAGTAAATAAAATCAAACGGCTATAAATCTAGACCAAAATCAATTTGTCCATGATTTAGGTTTGATTTGAGTAGAATATTAATCTCTCAAACGGTCACTTTAACCATTGACCAAAGGTGGAAACTTTGTCCTTGTATCACATCTTGCCTTATCGATTCATCATTGTCACCAAGTTTACTTGTGTTTGTCTATCCAAAATGTTTCTTGTCTCACAAGCTATCGTCGAGTATATGAGAACGTCCAAGTGTGTATTAGTGTCCGATCTATTCTTTTCTCCAACAGAGCTTGCAGAAACAGAAACACATGCAGCGAAAAAGAGGCCGGTTCTCTGAGCGCAACACCAGCATTCTCTCTCTCTTTTTTTTCCCTTTCTCTAATGCTTCAAAACTCTGCATGGGATCATCAGAACATTCTAAATGAATCTGGTGACACAATTTTCAACTCTGTTTTGTTCTGACAAGTGTTGGTTTCAGAAAAACCGCAGAGAAGAAGAAGACTGTTGTGACGGTGAAAATCGGGGAGAAAGCTGAGAGCCTCTTCAAGAACGAAGGGTTACCGTCTGATCTCTGGTCTTGGAGGAAATATGGGCAGAAGCCCATCAAAGGATCTCCATATCCAAGGTGCTCGCTTTCTCCCTTTTCCCTTTTCCCGCGAATTGAAAAAGGAAGAAGAAAAACTTTTCCATGGAAAAATTCTGGGTTCGATCTCAGGGGATATTACAGATGCAGCACATGTAAAGGATGCTCAGCCAAGAAGCAGATAGAGAGATGCAGAACAGATGCTTCGTTGCTCATCATCACTTATTCCAATACCCACAACCACCCAGACCAAGGTTCCAACCCTATCGCTCAAATCCCGCTACATCATCCGCGAAAGGAACAAAATTTATACAAACCCATCATTTTTCCTGCTCGAGAATCCGAGAACGACGGCTCCGCCGACACGGAAAGCATGATGTTCGGCGACGTGTTGAAAACAGGCAGGTTTCCGGTCGCGAGAGAGCCGATCGGGTCCGATCCAACGTCGAGGCCGGTGGTGGGGGCTGAGAAGGAGAACGATTTCTTCGACGAACTCGACGAGCTGCCCATGTCCTCGGGATTCACCAGGCTGGCGCAAAACGACGCCGTTTTCAACGAGGAGATTCCAGTCCCATCTTGATCCTCGCGCCCTGGCTCTGTTTTGTGCGCTTTATGTAAATAACGATGTGTAGTAGTTTTATATATTTTTGGTTGTAACCCACTAATCGTTTTTGTGGGTGGATCTCTTTTACCATTACATATAAATGTGTAAAAATCTCGTAAATGTATGAACGGTTCGTCGATCAGAAACTCAAACGCGTACACAACGATCAATGGAGGTTCACATCAAAGAAACAGAGGGAAAGGAAGAGACTTTGCGTTTGGTTTGGGTTAGGTTCTTGGATTTGGATTTTGTCTCTTGTCCTGTGGAATCTTTGGTGCTAGTTTTGTTGTCTCTTAGCCATGTTTGTCATTTACTTATTGGTGACATTTTAACCAAATCTCCATGAGAAACCAAACCACCACACGACAACAACAAAAAAGCACATAATTACATGAACAGATGACAAGTTTGCAAAAATAAAATGACTTTTTTTATAATGGTAAAAAATTAAAACGGTGTAAAAATGTCACAACTAAGAAGAGAGAGAGAGTTGATGAATCATTTAATTAAATAATTTAAATCGCGAGTCGTACGGTAGCTTTATAATAGTTGTGGATATATATATATATATGTATATGTATATAGACACAGGGTATGTCCCCTTTGTTTGTAAAGACTGACAAAACAAAAAAATCGGTTCACCCAAAAAAAAAATCGGAGATCAGCGACGGTTCTGGATCTTCTGAGACATTGCCAAAATGTTGCTGCAGAGCTTCCTCATGAAATCGTCGAGCGAAGCAGTCGGAGAATCGACGCCGGGAACGCCGACGAAGTTGTCGGAGCAGGTCGAGACGTCGGAGATGGCGGCGCTCAGGACAGATTCGAGCCGACCGTAGTCGCCGCTGTCCATAGCCTTCTTCGCCTCGTCCAGATCCGTGATCAGAGAGTCGTAGTTTTCGAGGCAAACACTCATTGCCTCCTTCACCGGCTCCTCCGTCGATCCGTCGTTCGTCACGCGCTTCGCGTACTGGAGCGTCGCGTTCGCTTTCTTGAACAGCGACTGAGCTTCCATCCTGATCACCTCCTCCGGATCCACGCTGCTCTTCCCTTCTTCGGCTCGTTTCCTCAGATCCGGGAGGATCGCGGCGATGCACTCGTTCGTGTAGTCGGTGCTGGTGCAGAGATCCTTCGCTGTCGTGTCGATTTTCATGGCCGAGAAATCGAAATTGTGGATGTTTTCAAATTTGGGGACGAGATCCTCGACATTGATGACTTCGTCGAAGTCGATGTCGATCTCTTCGGGGGCGGGGGCAGGGCCGGGGGATGAGACGACGGAGAAGGTCTGAGAAACGGCCGGCGACGGGGCAGGGACGGCGGGGATTTGGGATTCCGGCGGGAAGCTCGTGGAGGAGGAGGTGGAGAAGGAGGATGAGCCGGTGAACGAGTAATCGGTGAAGGTATCGGATTCCGAAGAGGCGTCAGGGGCGGAGGCAGGGACGGCGGAAATGCTGCTCACCGGACGACCCGCGCCGCCGGAGAAGATATGACAAATGGTAATTGCAATGAAAATTAATTTGTAATTCTTCATTTTTTTTAATTTTTTTTCTTTGTCGGAATTATCAAAATGCCGATAAAGAAAACATCAGACGAGGAAACGGAAAACGGGAGGATTTTAAAAGGACAAGAGAAATTGCTATATATATTGACTGGTCCTTAAAAGTGCTTCCCTGCAAAATTTCGGATATGCTAAATACACGAGAGGTACTAATTTTACTAGATTTCCGCTTAAATAATAATCTTACATCACCAAATTGTTTGGTTCAACTCTCTCGCATCGCATTTGATCTATATACATACACACATATATATATATATATATATATATATATATATAAACTCTG